GGAATGCCGCGCGAGCAAAGAGTAAGATGCAGTCTCTAGAACAAATTTTAGGGGGTCGAGAGAAGTTCTCTCAGCACAGAGGGCAGTGCTGTTTTTTAGGGGTCAGAAAGTTAGCGAGAGAAAAGGAGAGAAGAGAAGACGGGAATGCTGCGTTTAGCAAAAGGGGTAAGATGCAGTTTCTTAGAACAAATTTTAGGGGGGTCGTATGTATGTTCTCTCAGCACATGAGGGCAGTGCTGTTTTCTTTTAGGGGGGTCGAGTGTTAGCGGGAGAGAAAAGGAGAGAAGAGAAGACGGGAATGCTGCGTTTAGCAAAAGGGGTAAGGTTTCTTAGAACAAATTTTAGGGGGGTCGTATGTATGTTCTCTCAGCACATGAGGGCAGTGCTGTTTTCTTTTAGGGGGGTCGAGTGTTAGCGGGAGAGAAAAGGAGAGAAGAGAAGACAAATGCTGCATTTAGCACGTTAAAGGGGTGAGATGCAGTCCTTAGAACAAATTTCTAGGGGGGTCGTATGTATGTTTTTCTCAGCACATGAGGACAGTGCTGTTTTTTTTTAGGGGGGTCGATTGTAATACTCAGAAATTTCAGAGTAATTTCGAATGTCCCGCCATTGGCAACACTGAACGTTCAAGGTCGCGGGAGGGAAAAGAGCGCTGCCTGCTCATAGCGAGAGATTGCGGAATTAGGCCTATATGATATTAAATGTAATTTACCGAATTAATAATGATGCGATTCATGAAGTAAGGGACTATTATTAAATTTGAAATTATTATAGATCGTTTATCAGTCTGAATAATGTTACGGGTGTCCCAAGGAGTTATTAGTTAGGCGGAAAATATGTCACGTAGGCATAAGCTAACGCCTTGAGAGGACGCGACGCTGGCTGGCCCTCAGTCGCGGGGAGCAGTCAGGCAGACAAGACGTCCCTGCGCGTCCGTCACAGAAATAGTCACGTGGCCTAGTCACCTGTGCTGCGCTATTGCAGTATAACAAGTAAGTCTCATTCAATCTCAGACAGGGTTAGATAGGGCAGTGGTAAAGTTAACTAGAGCTAACAGTGAGTTCATTTCAGGGTTTCCGTCAGAACCCACTTGACTGGAGTTGACCGGAGTTGACCGGAGTTGACTGCGAGAGATTGACTGCCGTTTGAGACTGCCGTTGATGATTGAGGGTGGCGATTGTCGCCATTGGACCGATCAGTGTAGGCCTGTCTCTGTTTAGCGGGGTAGCAAAGGATCTCTTGAGTGAACGAGTGCTCCCGACAACTAAAACGACACGGGACCAGCATCAGCAGTGGGTGATCAGTTCTTACCACTCGGGTGCACAACACCACGTGTCCTCGGTCAGCTAGAAGTGTTACCTACTGGCCACAGACACCTGCTGGCGTTTTCTCTTCCTGCCCATGGACGCACTGGGAGTACACTGAAGCTATCTGAGTAAATTAATGGTCACACACTGAGACCGCGAGTCTAGGACTCTAGGAGATACCTAGAGGAACATCTTATCTCCCTTATTACGGGTGTGGTTAATACCATTTCTCAGACTGATATTATCTTGACGTGTGTAGTTTAATATTTCTTAAATAATTTTGATAGTAGTGTTTTTTGAATGTTTGTGTCATTTAGTGGAACCAGAGTGATACTGGGGTTTGATTCTTTTAGTGCATCTAAATTTTCTCCATAATTCTGATATCAGGTATAACTTTTGTTCCCCAGGGTAGTGTTTAAGTTAGGTTAGGAAGAGAGCATCAGTTGGGGTGATATAATTTTGTTGAGTGCCCTTAAGGCCTATTCATTGTAGAGTATTGAATTTCTTATTTTTATTACCATTTCCTCAGTGACTGATATTATTTTGTTGAAAGCCCTTAAGGCCTATTCATTGTGGAGTATTTAATTTCTTATTTTTTATTACCATTTCCTCAGTGACTGATATTATTTTGTTGAAAGCCCTTAAGGCCTATTCATCGTAGAGTAGTTAATTTCTTATTTCTTAATACCATTTCCTAAGTGACTGATATTATTTTGTGAAAGCCCTTAAGGCCTGTTTCATGTGTGCAAGCAACATTTCTTAACACTTCAAATTTATTGTTGCCTGAGTTTCTAATAATTTCTATATCATGTATAACTTTTATTCCCCAGAGTAGTGTTTTAAGTTCAAGTTAAGAGGTGCGCATATTGGTGTACCATTATTTGATTGTGTTTGTAGTGTTGGAGGGATTATAAGTGTCTAAATTTTACAGTGTGTCTCATTCATCCCAGTCACAGACGCTATCCTTCCACGGGTCACGGACATTAGTAGATTTAAGTGTTCTTGTGCTGGTTCGATTTTTCTCAAAGGGCGCTCCACTGCCATTACCATCTATTAATTTTTAATAAACCCCAAGTCCATATATATATATATATATATATATATATATATATATATTATATATATATATATATATATATATATATATATATATATATATATATATATATATATATATATATATATATATATATATATATATATATATATATAATATATATATATACTCTTACTCTTAAACACTACTGTAATGTGATACAGGTGATTCATTTTTTTCTTTTGTGCAAAAAATATGACTTTTATATTCAAATTATTCGCTGTCTTGCAAGGATTCCAGCAATGTAAATTATATTCTCCTAACTTTAGTCTGAAATATTATATAAGGTTAAAAACTATAAGCTTAAAACCCTGGTTGGGGGAGAGGGAGGGGGAGAAGGAGGGAGGGAGGGAGCAGGAGGCGAGATGATATGTTTGACAGTTGGAGCCGAAGGTCTCATGTGTGTTTATTAAACAGTCCTTAAGTGACTAAGCTTCTCTCATTTTAAAATGCTAGTGAAATAACCTGGAAGAATATAATTTACATTGCTGGGATTCTTGTAAGATAGTGTACTTGATGTGTTTGTGGTTTGAGCAGATATGTCTGGGATATCGTTGACATCCCTGGGTAGTAACTCTGGGTGAACCCTTTTAAGTATGTCTGCATGTACTATGTCTGATGTTTGTGTGTTTGGTTTCAAAATGTTTAATTTGTTGCCCGTTTCCTTGGCGGTAATCAGGAATGGACCAGATAATCTGGGCGCAAGTTTGGAGATCTGTTCAGGTTCTCTAACCATGACAGCGTTGCCTTTTGCTAGCATTATAGGTGTAGCCTGTTTGTGTTGCTTATAAATAATTTCAGCGTTAAATGTGTCCATACCTTGTGTTATGGAGTGGGATTTCTTTGTTTTTCTGACAATTTTAGCTTCCCGTCACTTCCTGTAGGTGAACATTCAGATTTTGGTTCTTCACGAGGTTTTCATTAACCTAAATCCCCGCATTGTTAAATGCTTTACTGAACTTATATGTAATAAACACTCTTTTAATAAAAAACCCCAAAACTCACACATTTTGTCTGCAACACACCTGAATTATGGGAACAATCCATTCTAGAGCGTGTCAATGTGCTCCTCCACTTTGAACTACAGTACAGGTAATCCTAGACCTACTCGACTTACGACCACCCGGACGTATGACCGCCGCAGTCGTATAAAATATTTTTCAATTTACGTATTTTCGAGTCCCGACGTTAGTGATCACGCAGTGTACTGACAAAATTTTTGTTTGTAATTCACTTTAAAATGGCTGGCAAGCATAAAAGTGAGAGTTCTCGTGGTGCTGAGAAGAAAAAGAGACACCCATTTTAGATTTTCTATGTATTATTTTTGTCTTTTCGCCTTACGACCTGGTCGTCGGTCGTAAGTTGAGGAGATACTGTATACCACTTACTGGTGATATCATTTTTCTTATGTGAGTGCTGGGAGGACAGATACAGTAGTATATAAAACACTATATTTATAATAGAGAGAGTCATAATAGAGACTGGTGGTGGTGGGTATATTATACTGCTTTAACTGAAGTTATTAATGACATCAGTCTCATTGCACATCATAGTTTATTGTAACATGAGAATGACAATTCTAGGGACAATTTATGCTATTCACCACAACCTTTAACTTCTTCGAGGTTATGATGTGGTCATACAGGAACCGTTTGGTCATTCCACCAACCATGGGACACCAACACTATGATGACTCCCAGATAGGGCAATTTGTCGGCATGCATAACGAGATCGCAAGGCAGTAATTTGTATTTTAACTTGAGAAGGAAGGGATATGTTGTATCAAAGGTGAAGTCTCACTTCATCATTCTCTACCTCCTCCTTCCTAACAAAAAAATTCATTATGAGGGAAGCCATTTAATATGTCTGCAGATAGCTGTATTTCTTCAGTAACCACATAAAACAGGGAGATCAAAATAGTGAGGTCATGTTGGCAGGCCTGCTTAATCTATAAATTTTCAGTTAGCAGACAGAAATTTCCATTAGCCCATAGTTGTTTTCAAAGTGTGTGGGGATATCTCTTAAATCTCTTAATGGCAGAAACAGTGACCAAAGCAACAGTCATTTAGTTCCTCGGATGTGGCTGATTTGTTTACAGAACATTTGTGTGATCTAGTAATGTTTGTTTGTAAGAAAACTGTAGTTAACTCTGAAAGATATTTTGAAAATGCTAGATAGGTAAAACTTGTTTGTGAGTGCTGGAAATTAAGCTTCATCCCAGTCCTGTGTTACTGAGGCCTACTGGGCAACACACCGATCCCAGTCCTGTGTGACTGAGGCCTACTGGTCAATACACCGATGTTAGGCTAAGATAAAAAACAGTTGCCTCCCTGAAATAAAAAGGATAACTGTTAAAATGTAAATGTTGGTCAATTTCGCTGACACTGAGGACGTAGCTTTCAAATCGCAGTTTAGGGGGTCGATTTATCTGCCAGGTAAAGGCCAAGATCAACAATTTCAGCTGAGATAATTGAAGTCATCTTATACTCCTGGTCGCCTTATAAGCCACAATATATGATACCATACTTCATTTTTTGAGGCATGCAAATATTTCATTACTATCAAAATTAAAATCCATTGGCATCAACTAAAAGGCATTTTTTCCCAAGTTTGTCCTTTTATTCATGTAGTATTTTGTACACATTATACAATTAACACAGATAAATAGTAAATAAAAGTTTTTCCCACATGCAAGTAACTAATTATGACAATACTGTACAGTACACAGTTTATGTGTGCATACTGCTGGCTGTCTGTTGTCCAAAATCCTTTTGCTTTAAATTATTTTATAACTAAATTTAAAACCTTCTGACCAATATATTACTGACCTCTCAATTTCACTCTATCATTATCCACAATGTATTTATTCTTCATTTCCAAAATCTTGTTCAGTTTAGCAGATAATTCTTCCTTTGATTTTAGGTGATCAGATGCACCTTTTGAAGCATAGTAATGTGAGAAAATCTTTTTTTTTAACTTACTGATTTTCATGCCCTCTTGTGGGGCTTTTTGAAGAACAATATTTATTGCCACTTTCCACTTGAACTTGGAGGGATCTTCTCTCACATTTTCCCCCATGGCGTTGTGAGCCTCATTTCCCCCCCTGTTATTTTCATTTGTCCCAGAAGCTACATTTTTACCATCATCTGCATCTCGTTTCTTTTTTCTGTCACTTGTTTCTTCAAGCGTCATCTCCATCTCCTGAAGTTTCTGTTTCTTTTTAGATTTCTTAGCTGTATGGCAAATGTCATCCTCCTCAGCCTTCCTTTTGGATGATATCATGACAACTGAAGCACCCTATAGATGGAGATAAATGTACAAAAAGGTTTTATATGACTGATGGCCCTTGTGGGGCAGTGCAGATACAGCACATTGTATACTAAGCCTACAGTCTTAAAAAATATAGTTGACTGGCACTTCCCTAAATGTTGATAGGTAACCATTCACAGCAGAACTTGGTGTGACACTAGCCAATATTCCCATATTAAACTATCCACTTCTGCTTTACAAGAGTACGTACACCTTATGCATATCACCATAACAATATATGAAGTGACAGTCTTATCCACAAATGCTATTTGAACCTATCAATTTTACTTCACTTCACCCCCTGCATACTTTCCAACTTCATATACCTGTAATACAGTAATATCACCTTTAGCCGGAATCCCTCAAACCCGGAACTCTCCGATGGCCGGAATTGAAATTTTCTTGGAAAATCGTTCCCAAAGCTGAAATTTTCCGGAAAATTCCGGCTTTGGGAACGATTGTCCGAGGGGCACATGTTGCGGAAAATTCCCCCCAAATTTCCTGATACCCAGAAAATTCAGAAAATTTCGGGGATGAAGGAGTTTTTTTCCAGGTTTAAGAGATAAAAATCAGGGGCATTTTCTGGAAATTCCGAGACAAATTTTCCGTTACCCCAGAAAATTCCGGGATGAGGAATATTTTTCCGGGTTTGAGAGATGATGTACTGTAATGGGCAATTTCTGGAACTTCCAAGAATATTTTTCTGTTATCCGGAAAATTCCGGGAATGAGGGATTTTTTTCTGGAGCTTTGAGAGTCGTCTCGTTACCCGGAAATCTCTCATTCCCGGAAGTGCTCTGCACCAATTGTTCCAGCTAATGGAGATATCACTTATTCTTACATTCCAAGTTCTTAATTTGCTTGTCAACACTCACATTCTCTGAAATATTATTCAATGTCTAAGTTATGTTATGTTCAGACAACACTTGCTAGCTTTCAGTAGCATACTGCATGAAAGTACAGTCGGCCCTTAACATACGCGGGTTTATAATACACGGATTTGCAAATACGCGGATTGCCCCGCCGGAGGAATATTCTGTACATTGAAGTAATTGAAGTACATTCAAATCGCGCGCCATTCAACTCGCGCGCGGCACCTCACACTGGACACCACCCGCTCCCGCAACCTCACACACACACGCATAGCTCTCCTTCACTCAGTCAGTCTCACTGTAACCACGCTTGTGTTGACATCAGCATTGTAGTTGCAAAAATATTACATTTCCGTGAATGTATTATATCAAGCAGAGTATGAATAGAATATCACTAATATAAGAGTATTTTAACCAAAAACTACTAAAAAAACGAGTAACATATCTTGAACATCGGAAGGTTAGGTAAAGTCTTTTGTTTTCATGTAGTTTATCCTAATTTACATTGAAATGCATTACGTTTCAACAAAACTACTATTTATTTCTGAGAATATGGAAATGTAATATTTTGCTGAAATGACGTACGTATTACAGTGGAAAGTGACGAAAGCAATGACTCGCTTTCTTTCGTTCAAAAGATGTTACCGCAATCGCTTTTCGAATGGTTTTCAGTTAAGAAACTGTTGTATTACAATAATATTCTATCCTAATTCACTTGTGATGCAACAGTTTTTTAACTGAAAACCATTCGAAAAGCGATTACGGTAACATCTTTTGAACGAAAGAAAGAAAGCGAAAGTCACTGTTTTCGTCACGATTTTATCCCACTTTCCACTAATACGTATGTCATTTCAGCAAAAATATATTACATTTCCGTGAATGTAGTATATCAAGCACAGTGTGAATATAATATCATTGTAATAAAACAGTATTTTAACCGAAAACTATTAAAAAAACGAGTAACATCTCTTGAACATTGAAAGGTTTGGTAAAGTCTTTTGTTTTCATCATGTATTTTATCCTATTTAACATTGAAATACATCACATTTCAACAAAACTACTATTTATTTCTGAGAATATATTCATTCAGGCACAGTTTAGGTAAAATATACATGTGCTGTAACATTTTTTTAATTGAAAACGATTCAAAAAACACGTACCCTCTAGCCCTGTTCAAGGAGAAAACTGGGAGGAGCTGTTTGGTGCTTAAGACGATGACAAGGAAAATGATTTTGATGGATTTCAATGAAAATATTCAAAAAGACCCTGGCACTGTCAAGGAAAGTGGCTGCTGAAGGCTTGCAGGACATGGCAGAGGACGAGATTAGGGAGCTAATGAAGAGCACGACACTGAGCTGACCGAGGAGGATCTACAGGAGTTAGTAGACTCAGGCAAGGAAGAGGAAGCGAAAGGGAAAGAGGATGAGGAAGAGCACCAAGAAATAACGTTGGAGAAGTTGGGCGAGATGACCAGGAATATTGAGGCACTGAAAAACCTGGCCTATAGTATGGACCCCTCTATGGTGCGTGCCCTGAAATTCATGCGAGGGATGGATGACGTTTTCGCTCCATACAAAAACATCATGGAAGAAATGAAAGAAAGAGACGACAACTCCCCATCACCGTGTTCTTTGATCACCGAAGGAGAGATTTAACACCATCAATCACTGGTGGCAGTGAGGAAGCAGCTGAATCCACCGTCGCCCCCACTTCACCACCCGTTATGGAATTGAGTGACGATGAGCCCGATGACACCCGTCCTGTCGCCGAGGATAGGTACTGTACAGTAAAGTGAAATTTGTATCTCTTTTTTTTTAATAGCTTTTCTTGCCATGTTTATTGTTTGTAAAAATGCACAGCACAGTACAGTTCAGTACTGTACATAGGTAGTGGAGGTGCAGTTATTCACAAAACATTTGTGTTCGTTGTCGGCAGCAGTGACGGTGAGGAGGGAGCGGAGGGAACGAGTTGGGAGGAGTGGTGACCTTGGACGCGGGAGCAGGGATGAGTGGAGATGCCAGCCAGTACATTACGGGTGTATTAATTGTTTTTATAGCTATTATTGCATTTTAATATTAAATATTGTACATTACGTTTCAACAAAACTACCATTTATTTCTGAGAACATGGAAATGTAATATTTTTGCTGAAATGATGTACGTATTACAGTGGAAAGTGGGATAAAATTGTGACGAAAGCAATGACTTTCTCTTTCTTTCGTTCAAAAGATGTTACCGTAATCGCTTTTTGAATGGTTTTCAGCTGTGGGATTACAAGGCTAATGATAGGATAGAATATTATTGTAATACAGTACCAGTACAACAGTTTTTTAACTGAAAACCATTCGAAAAGCGATTACGGTAAAATCTTTTGAATAACGAAAGAAAGCGAAAGTCATTGTTTTCGTCTTTCCACTGTAATATGTACGTCATTCCAGCAAAAATATTATTTTCCATATTTATTTCTGAGAATACTTATATTCATTCAGTCACAGTTAATGTAAAATATACTTGTGATGTAATATTTTAATGAAAATACGGTATCGTAGTTTTCTTTTGTTTCAAATTTAATTAACAAAGATTGATGTTTCAAATGTAATGAACAAAAATTTATGTACAGCATCTATAAATAAACTTTAATAAATGAATACTTTGTTTTTACATCGTCCTGTGCTACCATACCATGGATTTGGCTACTTTGGGCTTGCAATGATGACGCAAGAGATGTGCCCTGGCAACTGTACCGACACTCACAGCTGGTGGTGCGTTGGTGCATCGTTTCCATTGTTTACTGGTAGTTACTGGTAAATATTTTTCAACCTAACGAAACTATTACCCGTTTAGAGGTCGACCCCCAATTTTTTGCCAAATAATTTGGTCTTAAAAACTTGAACTACACACAGGTATATACGGTAAATAAGGACATGGGGGGACCAGGTTTTTTTTGGGGGGGGCAGCACATATACGCGCATTTTTAACATCCACGGGTATCTCTGTTACGTAACCCCCGCGTATGTTAAGGGCCGACTGTACAGTACAGTAGGCAATGTTGTAAGACCTTAGTATGAGTGATATTAACGGTGCCATTGCCTCAATGTATACCAATACCAAAAGGCTGACTGTACCTGACTGTTCTGGTTGTGAGAGTTGATCTTGTTGCTGTTGGCAGCTTGGAACACTTCCCAAGCTTTGTCCACAAGGTAGCCATTACGAATCTTGGCACTATTTAACAAAAAATTCTGAAATGTAAAAAGAAATACAATAAGATATGAAGATCTTGCCTTTTTATATTAAGACAATGAAGAAATTATTAGTCTTTGAACTCCTGAAAAATAAAGCAGACAGTAAGTTAAAAATTAAAATCCCAAGAACATGCATTTTTACAATTAACTCCTTCAGTGTTACATTTCCAAATGATCCCAACAGACTGAGAATTTTCTGAACAATCATTACTACTAAGAATAAAACCACATGTTACACGATGATAACATTCTTATTGACCTCTACACAGTGAAGGGGGTCAAAGGGTTAAAGCACAATAAGTCTTTGCATTACTGATGAAATTATTCTGAAACACCAATATAAAATAGATCAACATCCAGAGATCCTTCATTTTTACAACTACAGGTATCCCTCATTTAACATTCATTCATTTAGCAATATTTTGGTTTAGCGATATAAAATTTTTAAAGTCCTTTCCTGTTTAATGATTGGTATAAATTCGGTTTAGTGATGTTCGACTCACTGGGAAAAAACCAGGAGGGCAGTCAGAAAAATTGGGGAGTCTGTGCCCCAAGTGTGCATCATTACAATACAGGCATCCCCCAGGTAATTCGAATCCATTCTACCCATTACTGTACTTCCATTATAAAGTTGAGATGCATTTCTACAGAATTTTTTTGAGGCCTAAAAATGTGACACAAGCACATATACTTATGAAATTAGATGGTTTTAACCACATATAATGAGTATTCATGATGTAACACAATAATAAACGAGCAAAACACTCATTCTTTACTTATCAAAAAATATGTGTTGAATGAGGTGAGGTAGTGGAGGGAAATGGTGGGTCACTGCTGACTCCTGCCTCTCCCTGTGGATTATCATCTGGCTGCTGGCTGAGGTTTTGTGGCAAAGAATTTGTGCAATGTTGTTTGTCATTGATGGCACATTTTTTCAGGGTACAGCTCCTTGTATCCCCTCATGTAGTTTTGCAATTCTGTTGTAAACTTGAGGCTGTGTTCAGTCTGGATCGTGTGTCTCAATGGTTTGCATCAAATCTTGCAGTTGACTATTAGCTTTGGACAAAACCTTTGTTGTTTATTCACGCGATGTAGTTGGAACTTCGGTACAGGTGTCCTGTTCCTCAGCAGCAGCTCGCTTCTGTTCCATTAATATTAGATCGTCATTGGACAGATCCTCTGCGTGTGACTAATAGCTCAACTACACCAGCCTGGTCAACTTCCTTGAACCCTGCACCATTTGTCAGAGTTAAATTTCCTGCTGCACCTGATCCAAGATCTGAACATGGGGAAAACCTTGGAAATTTAGAACACAATCTGGCCAGATGTTCTTCCACTCACCATTCACGATGCTAAATTCCCTCCAGAAATCTTTAACAGATTGCTGATCCTCGCTATCAATTGCATCTATAAAGCTGGCAATCACACCTTATATCCATAGGCTGCAGCAAGAAAGTTGTGCTCTTGGGCAGGTATTCAACCCTGATATTAGGTGAAAGGTCGTTAAGGTGGATGGGAGGCATTATCATGAATTAACAAGGCTTTGATGGCAAAACATTTTTGGTTACATTACCTTTCTACTGCAGGACAGAATAAGTTTGTAAACCAGTCATGGAATAAGCTGCCAGTCGTCCATGTTTTCCTATTGGAGCACCATATCACTGGTAACCAAGATTTGGTGTAACCCTTGAAAACTCTTGGCTTTTCTGAGTGATACACAAGCATGGGATTTAGGTTGAAATCTTCTGCTGTATTAACTCCCTAACAGGAGCAGAGCATTACACGATCTTTGGAAGCCTTGAACCCAGCTGTTTTTTCCACAGTTAAAATAAATATTCTGGCAGGCATACACTTCCAAAAGAAGCCTGTTTCATCAACATTATACACTTGTTTTAGTGTGTATCCATGAGCCTCAATAAATGCCTTTAGTTCAGCTGGATAATTAGAAGCAGCCTCAGCATCAGCAGCTTGACCTACCATCTTAATGTTGTAAAGGTTTGAATGTTTCTTAAAATGCTCAAACCACCCTTGATGGCATTAAAGGGTTTTTCATCAGAGTTACCACCTGGTTCCTGACTTAAACCTGTGTACAGACTTTTAGCCTTCTCCTGAATCACCATTGTGCTAATGGGCACATTTCACTTGGTCTGGTCCTCTATTCATACACTTTTATCATAAGATCACTACAAAGAAAATAGTGTACAGGCTGACAGTGGAGTAGGAACTTTAGTGCTAACCCTAATTTTGTCTTGTCATCATGGATAGTTCTGACTGTAGAAGTAGGAAGGCCCAAAGTTTTGGCAAAGTAACTCGACTTCTTCCCCTGCTCAAACCTCCTTAACACATCTAATTATGTTTCCAAGGTAATAAATACCCTTTGTGGTCTCTTATCACCACTGCTACCACTTGCACTTGATGGTCTCTTTCCACTCATCTTGAATAAGAATGCACAGTACAATACCCAAGAAAGAGAAGCACAGCTGAACATTGACTGGAAATTCAAACAGATCGAAGTTGCTATTGTTATTGTGGGGGCCACTGCCGCCTTGTGACTACCACAGATGAATCCACATGAAATAATTTTTAAATTTTGGTAAAAACTTTGTTTAATTTTTCATTTACAAATTTTCCATAGGGCAGATATTTTTTCTTCAGTATCATGAATTTTTGGTCATAATTTCAAAATTCTGCAAGGGCAAATTTTGGTAATCCAAATTTCCATAAAGTGGGGTACCGTATATCTCGGCCTATAAGACGGAATTTGAACCATAAAAAAATCAGCCCGAAGTTAGGGGGTCGTCTTAAGCACCAGATATAAAATTCTTACCTCTTAAATATTGCTGTTTAGCTTGTCAAGAGTGGTGATGGAAACATGGTAAACCACTCACAAGGTCCTACCACTAATTATTTTATACTGAAACTTACGTTTGGGAAGCTGGATTAAAATGAAGATTACCAGTATATTAAAATAATTAAAATGTATTATAAACCTGTCTAACATACCGTAAAAGAACAATATACCCCGGTAATAAACACAGCTGCTATCATCACCCCCCCATTTGCCAGTGACAAGAAAGGGAAAGTGACCATGACTGTGACCGCCTGTGGCTATTTTTAGCCGTCCTTGTGTTTGGAGGTGGTCAGTAATGCATATCTGTATATTTACTGATCATAATACTTATCTCCTATAAATAATTCATTTAAAATTTATTTTTTTACAAAGAATATTCAGTAAATGACCGAGTTAATTCTTGAAACTACCGACAGTGGTAAATTTAGGACATAAATGATGAAAAGAAGTCACGTCACGGATTCAGAGTTTGGTCCTTAATGATCACTATAAATGTCTGGTCAACTTCACTTACCAGGTATAATGGTAGCCTCCCTTTTTCGCAAAACAAGTATATAATTAAAGAAAATACTTGCAGTGTGTTTAATATATTACAGTATATTGTAAATAAATAAATAAACAAATAAATCGGCAAATCTATTTCAAGTAAATGGAAATATTTTACTCACACCGACATTAGTTCCAGTTAAATAACTGACGCTTAAGTGAGTCACTAGTGTACACCAGCCGGTAAAATTTGATGCCAATACTTTAAGTGAATTGGCCTTATTTTAAATAACCAACCATAAATAAATGCAAAAAGGAAAAAAGATCAAAGGTGAGAAACATTATATTGTATGTATGTTGTGTTGTCAAAGGAAGAAAAACAATTGAAACTGCAAGTGTGTGTAAATGAGGCAGAAAGCTAGATCAGCAACCTAAGACTTGTTCACAATTTTCGTGATGCAATATGGAAGTAGGATTGTAGTGGATTTCTCCCCTACAAGCGCTGTTTGTCGCTGAGTAGCCGACCCCACGAATTCCCCAGTGTATGCCTCATGGTCTGGGTCAACCAGCGCCGCCATACATCACGGAGGTCACCTACTAAGCCACGCCTACCCCCACTATTTAAGACCTGACCTCGTGGTGACCACTCTCTTCTTCTAGCTACAGCCGCAGCAAGCAACACCACCTCCTCCGCCGCTGCCTGGCGGTCCTCGCTCCCGCCGGCGAGCATGGCAACCCAACAAGCTGTCCTCCTCTGAGCACCCTCACCAACCAGCTCTCTCTACTCAACGCTTGTAACCATGCTGCCTTCCCAGCACCAAGCTGCATTGTACATCCAATACAACATGTATACAGAGAGCACATTGTGAGTTTCCTTTCTCCATCCCATCCTGAGTGCGAACCCAAACATAACGTACCCCACAGGATCTACCATTAGACAATACTGTACATTATGCTTCCAATATCTTCCCAGGCGGTAGTATCTCCCTGTTTGGTAGCTGCCTAAAATTTTTAGTAATATTACTTTGATACAACATGATAAATTAGACAAACAATGAAAAAAAAAAAACAAGTTATTTACCAAGACCTTCTCTCTGAGAACAGAGGGATGGAGAGGGAGGGATGAAGGGGAGATAAGGAGGCTATTTATAGCCTGTCTTTGTGTAGGAAGTCGACCACACTGTAAATAATTCATTTAAAATATAAATTTTTTACATAGAATATTCAGTACATGACTGCGATTATAAAATATTGTGAATATATATATATATATATATATATATATATATATATATATATATATATATATATATATATATATATATATATATATATATATATATATATATATATATATATATATATATATATATATATATATATATATATATATATATATATATATATATATATATATATATATATATATATATATATATATATATATATATATATATATATATATATATATATATATATATATATATATATATATATATATATATATATATATTTCATGTAAATCCACAATGAAAACGTGGATAAGATAAATCTTGATAAAATCACACGGGAAGATGGAAACAACGGAGTACCTTGGCTTTCGTCTTTATTCAAAGATGTCTTGAATAAAACGGCTAAGGTACTCGTTGTTTCGTTTTCC